TGGCCTGCTGTGTTCATCCAGCTCTACACCTTGTTATCTCAGATTCTCCAGCATCGGCAGTACGTACTATCTCTAATGTTTGGGTCAATTGTGTTTCAATAATTGTATTTACATATAATTGGCAGGCTATGTATTACAGTACCTACCCAAACTTCATATTAAGCGCATGAGTTCAGGGGTGCATGAGATGCTGATGGGCTGGGCACACACCCTATTTTCTGAGTCTGTCCTGTCAAAAACACTCCCATTGGGTGCATGTAAAATCCAGTCCCTAATTTCCCACCAAATAGAATTCAGTTGTTGTCAATTTATTATTGGATCTGAATGCTTTACACTTCTGTTCATTCCCTTGACTGTTGAAATATGTCTTCTTGTACAGGTTAATTTAGAAAAGCAGTGGTTGTGGAGGACCCTGATATTAATTCTCATGAAGTATTCAATGTGGACCAAAAGCACAGCTGGAGTCCCTCTTGATAACTATACTGTCCAATGCCTACAGAGTGATTCTCTGCATATGTACACATGCACACGAAAGAAATAGGGTGTTTATCCTCCACACTGGCAATAGTCAAGCTCCCATGTAGCCATCTTGTTCCACTGTGCCTTTTCCTCTTTCAGCTCAAGCACATATTTAACCTTTCCTTGTTGATATTCAATCACTAAATTTAATTGTGTTTTCCAGATCTCACAGCATCAGCATATAAAACAAAATCAATGGTTTTCTGTCCTAAACCATTTACAAAAGCAAAATAAAACTTATGGTCTATCAGACCAGGTCTCACTCTGGGATCTGATTTATCTAGTAGGATCAGTGGCTGGGATCACAACACCACGAAATCTAGTTTTGCTAGTTCCTTGATGCCACACTGAGTATAATGCTGCTTTGATATTAAGGTTAGTTACTCTTACCTCACCTCTTGAGTTCAATTCTTTAATACAATTTTGGATCAAAATTGGAATGAGATCAGGAGCTGAGTGGCCCTCTCCAGTCCTAAACTGAGCATTAGTAAGCAGTTAATTCCTTTGCAAGTGTCACATACCAGGACTGTTAACAAACCTTTCCATCGTTTTACTAATGACTGAGAGTCGACTGATGCTATTTGATGGGTTGAATTTGTCCTTTTTCTTTGTGGACAGGACATACCTGGGTAATTTCTCACATTTCCAGGTAGTTGTTAGTGCTGTAGGTATACAGGATCAGCTTGGCTGTGGGGGTGGCTAGTGGAGATGTCTTTCCATAATGGAGACATAGTTAAAATTAAAGAGAGAAATCCTGCCAGTTTCAGATGGATGTCCTTGCCTGGTCAGAAGAGAAAGCAATTACAGTGGGATCCAAGTGGAATATCAGTTGGTGAATCATCTGGTTGAAATGAGCTATCTGCTTGTTTGTTTTCTATTAAAAAGCAAACTGGTCAGTCTTTTCACTGATTGGTTATGACCAATAGACATAGCAGAAACAGGCCATTCAGTGCATCAGGTCTGCTCCATCACTCAAGAGATCTTGGCTGATCTGGTAATGATCTGATAATCTGGCCATGGGAAGGTGATGGCCTAGTGGTACTATCACTGGACTATTAATTCAGGGACACAGATAATGTTCTGGGGATCTGGGTACAAATCTTGCCATAGCAGATG